GGAGGCAGTAGAAGACCGGAGGGCCTGGCGTGCTCTGGTCCATGGGGTCACGAAGAGTCGGACACGACTAAACGACTAAACACACAGAGGAGCAGATGACAAGCTGTATGGGATATTAGACTCTGTGGAGGATTCCTTGTGCTAATCCAGGAGTGATATAACATCATGCATGTTTCTAAAGAGGACAAGATGGTTGGACAGTGTTGTCGGAAGAGACCAACATGAATTTGATCAACCTCCGGGAGGCAGTGGAAGACAGGAGGGCCTGGCATGTTCTGGTCCATGGAGTCATGAAGAGTCAGACACGACTTAATGACTAAACAACAAAAATGTTTCTAAACTGAAAAACAGTGCAGAAAGTACTATCTGTAAGAGTCTGCTATTTATTCATAGGCATAACTGTTATGCAGGGTAAAAGCTGATGACCATTCTATTCTATTATGGGTTTTGTGTGAGCAGATTAAAAAAATAACCATAGTTGTCAAGCTCACTCTAAGAGTTAATAATACCAAAAGTTAAGATCTTGCATATCAAATTTGTAAAAAGATACACTGGGGAGACAGCTTGTTTGAAATGTGTGAACTCTGATGTGTAACATGAACTCTGGTTCTTTACTGGCAAGAAAGGGGGCCTCCAGCAGAGTTGGGAACACAATCCTTGCATATTATTGTGGAAATAAACCCTGTTCTTTTCAAAGGTTACTATTCCCCTGTAATAGGTCAAGATTGCAACCTCCTTGGATTAAGCAAGCCTTGAATAATAATTCAATTAAAATTTCCCTTTACCTTGTTTCTTTCCATCATTATATTTTAGAATTCACACTAATTAGAAGAAACAATTGCATACATTCATATGCTAAAAGTCACGAGAGAATTACAGTACTCTTAGAACTGATGCTGTTGTCAGTGGCTTAATAGGTCATGATGTGGATTAACAAAGAAGGGAGAATATAGATGGCCATACAGTCAGCTCATTGTTTCTTCAACTAACAAGCTGATTTGTTTAAGGAATACATTTATGTGCTGTCTTCTAATCAAGTTCTCGGACAGGCTTCTAACAAGAATAAAAATAACAAAAAATATAACAGAGCAGGGCAACAATAAGAACAGAATTTAGAAAAGTTACTTTTTTGGACCATCACTCCCCATTCCCTTCAACATGGTCGTTGGAAAATTCTGCAAGTAAAAAAAAAAAAGACAAAATCTCAATAAAATGTATAGAGGCAGCACAGAAATATAAGCTACAAAGACCAAAATAGTTAGGCCTGGAGCAGATTAAGGGGTCTGTGAAAATGGAGATAACACTTGCTGCCAATATAAGATCAAGGTTAGTGCAATATGAATCACTGCAGATGGGCATTCTGGGATGGCCAGTGTTGCCACCACTGAAAAAGCTCTTTCTTCAGAAGCCATACAGTAACCACCACTTGGTCAGGAGGAGCTGAATGAAGAAGAATCTCAGACGTTCCTAGGGTTAGGTGCCTATGGAGGCAGCCCTTCATGCACCCAAACAATGAAGAATTTTAAAAAATCAAAAATGGAAATGTGAAGTGGACCTGGTAACAGATTGGAAACCCAGAAAACTAGCAAAATGGGGTCTATTCATTCTCCCTCACCTGTGAACAAATGAAATGCAGCCCTCCTACAGTGCTCTGCAATAATTAAATTACATGCTACCAGGGTATGAATAACTGGAGTCAGGCTATTCCACTCTAGTAGCTCCAACCCTTATCATTATTAGCTAGAGTAAGGCAGGCTTTCAAGTGATATAGACAAGAGACAGCAATAAGAATGCTGTGTTCATTGAATTTCAATGGCATTCTTAATGGTTTCACAAGTCTTTTAATTTTTGTTCTGGACTTTCTTTCTTTCTTTCCATAATTATAGGTTGCTGTGTTTTTAATTGTGCTTCTATTGTTTCAACTGACTGTAATCTGCCTTGAGTGCCTGACGTGGAGGAAGGAGATATATAAATCAGATCAAATGGAGCAAAATGAATGAACAAATGAACAGACGGACGAACAAACAAATATATTTGCTAGTCCATTTCAGGCAGCAAGATGTCTTTGCTTGAGGTAAAGGTGTTCTATGCACAGAGGTAACATGCACCTCCAGTGACAAAAATGGAACAAGGCCCATGGTAGAATATGTACCTCCCTGTATAGAATAGGAGGAACACCACACATCTGTGGACATAAATAACTTTCTAATAAAAACAACAAAAAAGCTTGGGACACTTAAGGACTAACAAGTTTGATATTTATATATATATATGATGTTATTTCAATTAAAAGCCTTCAGGAACAGGAAGGTTTCGACCTGGTGCCGAAATGTCAGTTGGGAGGGTATTCCATAGTCTGGGGGCAGCTGCTGAACAGGCCCTTTGTCTACAAGCCATCCCTCTTACCTCCTTGAGGGATGGCTCTTTCAAAAGGGCCCCTGGTTAGATCTTAACTGCTGGGTAGGCTCATATGGAAGGAGGCGGACCTTCAGGTATCCAGGGCCCAAGCTTTTGTGGTTCATAGCCCTTGAGACACTTTCAACAAGACATCTGCCTTGTATGCATTAAACCTCAGGGTACAACAACACAGAGGAAATTGATAATCAGCCCTTGTTTTCAGCTTGTTAAGGCAGCTCTACTGTGGTTGTCCAGATTTACAGGAAACATGGCTACAGCAGAGCTATCCTAACAAGCTGGAAACAAGGGCTGATTACCACAGCTTAAGGCAGCTCTATTGTGGTTGTCCAGATTTGCAGGAAACATGGCTACAGCAGAGCTATCCTAACAAGCTGGAAACAAGGGTTGATTACCATTTTCCTCCTTGCTCTCTCTCTCTCTCTCTCTCTCTCTCTTGTCCCCTAGGTGCAAAACCACTCAGTTAGGAACCAAGGAGTGCTTGGCTGCAGGGAATTGATGCCCTCATGAGTGACTCTAAATTTCTGTCTCCCCACCTTGAACGAGGAAGCTGGCAGATTCAACTTCTAGTCACCCATTCAGCCATGAAGTTGCATTAGTTCAAGCGATTACACTGATGGAATGGATGCAAATACATTTGATTAGGAAAAAGTAAATGCTCCAGTGGCAGAGGGGAAAAGTACAAGTTTGGAGGAAAACCTCTGGGCTGATTTGCACTGACTTGCACATTGTGTAGTCAACAGAAAATAATATGACCATGACTTTCCCCACCCTGGAGCATTTCCTCTATTTGTCAATGTATTTATTTATTAACTATTATTTATTTAAAATATTTCTATCCTGCCTTTCTCCTTAAAAGAGACCCAGTTGCCACTTCAGTTTATAATGTGCAATCTTAAAAGTACTTACAAAGATAGAGGTGGGGAAACTCTAGGAGCTAAAAGGACCTAATCTTCCCCAACCCTTTCATGGCTTGGACCATATCAGAAAGCAGAGGCATTCCTATTGACATCACCAGGTCTGTGGCAGCTGAAGCACCCACTGGAGATTCTCCACTCAGTTCCCTGGTTGTATCCAGCTGAAAAAGCACTTAACTGCTGCTTCAGCAGTTGGCCAAGTCACTGGTCCCAGGTAGCTCCCACAGTGAGGCCTGGCTTAGCTTTGCTGCTCCCCGATCTCTACATAGCAAACAAGTGAGAAATGAGGTGAGACTGACTCCCACTCTTGGGATGGGGTGGAATTGCATTTTGATACCTCCCAAGGTAGATATAGGAGCAGAGTGGGCCAGTTTTGACTCCTCACTGCTAGAAGGTAAGGATGTTTGAAGGCAGAAGAATGTTCCTCATAACCATGCAACATGGGCTCCAGAGTAAAGCCAGCTTCATCTGCAAGCACACAACGTTTCAGAGGGCTCAGGAGGAAACCCCCCCACACACACATATTTAGGACTACTCTGCACCTATAAAAAGATACAAAAGATGTCTGCAGCTGGAAGTTTTTCCTTCCTTCCATCTTTTCTTTTTCTTTCTCTCTCCTCCTCCTTCGCCGCCGCCATTCCGGGAGGGAGAAGTACATGCTCTTTTTGTCCGTCTCCGCATCAAAAGCCCCATGTTTTGTTTCCTTTTGGTCTGCGGAGGCGCTGACCCAGTTCTCCGTGAAAGTTGCTGCCCACACTTGGCGCAGGGCACCGTCGCTCAGCCGTAGACACTGGTGCATTATTTATGCCCAGTTTTACGCCGCGCTATTCTCCGGTTCTATTCTCGGCCTGAGAGGCTGCCTCGCCTTTCGCCACTCGGCCGGGCCTCGGTGACTCCAGTCGAGGTCGCGGGACCATCGCACAGGGCTACCCCCGCGCCGCCTACGGCTACAATGGGCTGTTTCATCCTGTTGAACAGTCCTGCGAATGAATGGGCGTTAGCTAACTCATGTCCCCACGTGCGGTGTCCTTAAGTGTTGCCGCTCCTCCTCGTCCTTCTAATTTCCGGCCTGCCTCCGCGACGCCCCAAATGCGAGGAGCCGCATCCCTTTTTTTCGCAACCTAATTACAGTAGTACTACTAGGCGTTTGGAGGCGGCTCTAATAGGAAGCAAGGCTTCTGTCCATTGACGTGCTGCAATTATTTTGGGGGCAAAGGGGGAAAGCACCTATAGGGCCATCTAGATATGCTTTCCAAAACTAAACCACCGTGAATGCAAAGAGGTCCTCTTCCCGGTGGTCTTGGGGGGGGGGTCAAACAGGAGCTAACCGCCTGCGCCCTGACGGTTGGAGTTGCTGGCCTTCCTTGGGCCACGGACAGAAAGGCAGCCTTGAGGAACAACAAGGACGCCCACCCGCTTGGTGACTCATGGAAGGAACCTGCCCCGAAGGACGAAAACCAACGCCGCGCGCACCCCCGGCCTCGCCTCCGCCCGCGCTTCCCCCCCCCCGGAAAGCGAAGTTCCCATAGAAATGAGAAACAGCGCGGGAGGGGGGGAGGGCCCCGAAGAGGGCCAATCCGCGGCCTCGGGGGCGTAGCACAGGGGGCGGCCAGGAGGAGGCTAATCCGAGCACACACGCCTGCAGAGCGCCCTCGCGGCGACGTGTCCAAGGAGGCGGGCGGGCAGGGGGAGGTTGTGCCGTCACGTGTCGGGAGGCGGGCACGCCAAATAAAATTTGCGAAAGGTAGACTTGAAATAAGAGGAAGAGATGCACCCACGAGCTAGGGACCCGCTCCGTGCAACAGGGGCCAGGAGTCGGGAGGGGGGCCGAGGGCGGACGGAGCGAACCAGCGGGCGGGCCGGCGGGCAGCCGACGGGCCACAGTGCCAGCCAAGCTCGTCGGCTCCCACGGCGTCGCCCTGCGGAGTCGACCCGCCTTGTTAGTGGCTCCGAAGGCGCCCGAGGTGCCTGCTTTCTGCCTGACGGGCTATGGTGAGCGGGGGGCCGGAAGAAGTCGGGGGAAAGGGGATGGGGTACAAGGAGGAGGTGGAGGAGCAGCCCGACCTGCTGCAAGAGGTGAAGCCTGAGTTCGCCGAAGCGACGGCCCCCAACGGAGGGGTGCCCGAGGTGCGCCCCGGGGTGCCCGAGGTGCGCCTGACTTGGCGCCGCTGGGTGATCGTCTTCGTCTTCAGCTCCTATTCCTTCTGCAACGCTTTCCAGTGGATCCAGTACGGCAGCATCAACTCCATCTTCACCAAGTTCTACGCCTTGACCCCGCTGGCCATCGACTGGCTCTCCATGTGCTACATGATCGTCTACATCCCGCTCCTTTTCCCCGTCGCCTGGCTGCTGGACAAGAAGGGGCTGCGCCTCATTGCCCTGGCCGGTTCCGCTCTCAATTGCCTGGGCGCCTGGGTGAAGACGGGCAGCATGAAGCCTCACCTCTTTCCCGTGACGGTCCTGGGTCAGATCATCTGCTCCCTGGCTCAAGTCTTCATCCTGGGCATGCCCAGCCGGATTGCTTCCGTCTGGTTCGGAGCCCGGGAGGTTTCCAGCGCTTGTTCCATTGCCGTCTTTGGGAATCAGGTACAGTAGGTTGCAAACTATTCAGAAGGATGGCAGTGGAAAACTTATAATGTAACAAATTAGGATAGGAGAGAAAGCGAAGATAGCTACAGTATTTGTGAAGTAAAGGGAGAGAAGGTGTAGCATGGGTCTGATACCCCATCTGGAAACTCAGCAACATGGGAAAGTAGGTTAAAAAACAAAAACAAAAATGGTAACCTCACAATAATCTGAAGCTTTGACAGGATGAGAAGGAAATCCCTGGGGGGGGGGAGGGAATCAAAACACACTGGTTTGGGCATTGCAGCATGGATGGAGGGGAACACTTGTTGCCCTCCTGCTGATGCTTGAGTATAAGTCCCATCATCCTTGAGCAGTGGCCATACTTTTTGGGGATGGTGGGAGCTGGAGTCAAGTGACAACAGGTTCCCATTTATGCATGAAGGAGGAGTTACATGGTAGTGTAAAATGTATGATGGACTTCTTTTCACATGGAAAAATGCTCACATTAAGAATGTACATGAATTAAGCAAGAAAAATAATTTGGAGACATAGGTTAGCTGTGGCATACTCTGATAAGTTTATAATGAGTAAAATATGCTGAAAAGAGGATATTAGGGCGAGGAACATTTTAATGTTAATTTGGACTGATGTTAACGAAACTGTGATGTATTGAGGTTTATTTGCTGTTTCCTATATATCTTATTTTGGTTTGATACAGAGGAGGTGGGAATGGTAGCTACAGGCTATTTCACAGGCCGGGTTGAGTGCTGTGCATCTTTGCTGCTTTGCTTTGGCTGTACTTGACATATGGAGGTAGGGTGTCTTGCAGCTGGGAGATGTAGGGAGAAATTGGTACCATTAGGTTTAAGGTAGCTGTGTTGGGTTATGGTTCCTGCTAGTTCTTTGTGCATCCTAAAGGATCATCTAAACTCAGCATGGCATTATGTGCCCCTTTTACAGTAGAAGGTGGCCTTGCAAAATGGTCTCTTGTGATAATCAGCAATGAGTTCAAAGTGAACACTTCCACTTCCCTTAAAAGTGGCCTTTGCTATTAGTGAACCAGTAGCTGAGGATTGCTGAGCAAGAGCGGTGGGGGAAGTGTACATATATAGCAAAATGCAATGGTTACCAGTAAATCCTTTTGCATGTGATACAGATATTTAATGTTCTCTGTCCTTCCTCTGTGGCAGTGGATTCTATATGTTTGAGAAAAGGCAAGTGCGCATGTCTCCTGCATTGAAATTGGTTGCTTGTATATAAAGTGCATCAATGCCATTTATTTATTGTAAAGGGCTCTTCATAGAAAAAGGCAGCTAACTTTGAAAGTCCAGACTGAGCTGATTTGCGAGCTAAATAAGCAGCAGAAGAATTCCTCTGTCAGATTTCTGTCTAGACAAACACATACTCAGAAAGCCAATGGGGGAAGTCAACCATAGAGGCTTTCAGTCCACTGAGTTTGAATGTGGAACCCTGAGTTTGCCAGAAAAGAATGTAGGTTCCTGTCAGAGTAACAGGAGCTCACACTTGCTTTTTGCAGCTGCTGTATAGTTTTGCACTAGAAACATGCTGGTACAGTTGTTTCCAGCTGAGTAGATGGGCAAGAGTCCAGTAGTTGCTGATCTCAGAGAAAGACAGTAACTCTGAGGACTGTGTACACCGTGGATGTGTACGGCAAATTATTATTAATCAGCTCTACCTAAAGTCTCATTCTACAAGATTTTAACTGCTGAGTTTGAATGGAAGTGATTTATTTTTTTCAGAATTTCATTCAGGTTAGGCTTGAGTTACAAATACAAATACTTATTTTTAAAAGCTCCTCAGAGAGCTTGTTTCCCCAGTGGGATAACTCCTCCTGCTGCTGCTTAGATGTTTAACTGAATGTGCCCTTTCTTCGGAACATTCCACACACAGTGTTACAAGAAATGTTTGTATTTTTTTTTCTTTACTGGCCTTCAGTTAAGAATCTCGGCTTTGAATTCAGAAGTCCAGAATGTACCGTATTTTTCGCTCCATAAGACGCACCTTTCCATAAGACGCACCAATTTTTAGGAGAAGAAAACAGGAAAATATAATCTGTTTTCTTCGCTCCATAAGACTTTCCACCCCCCTGTTTTTTGGGGAAAAAGTGTGTCTTATGGTGCGAAAAATACGGTAAACTTTGCGATAAATGGAACAATATGTGTCGATTTTTTGGACGGCCTTGGAAATACTGAGAATTACAAAAGGCTGGTGGGGTTCTACTTTTGGTTTAAATGGCAGGTATCCTATTGGATAGTTATGCCGGTGTCAGCATAATGGTGTCAAGAGCAGTGGTGAATTACCACTGGTTAACAATTTATGGTTTGCATCCTTTGTAATCCACAAGCACATGGGATGGTGTGCAGTGGGGAATGCAAGTGGTGAATTATTAGCTGGAAGTAATTATCCATTGCACTTGTAGCTGTGTAACTAAGTGATAGGGTTGTGTGGCTAATGAGCATATGTGAAGCAGCATCTGTCAATAAACAAAGTGTGCTGTTTCTACACTGCCCCATAGCGCTTAAAGCACTCGCTGGGCAGTTTATAATTTAATTACCATATTTTTCTGTGTGCAATATGCCTCCACGTATACGTCACCCTCCACTTTTCTAACCCAGAATTTCTTTCTTCGCAAGAAAGTGGAGGGGAAAGGCAGGTATCAAAGCGCTTTGATTCCTGCTTACTCCCTTCACTTTCTTCAGAAGAAAGTGGAGGGGAAAAGCAAGAATCATCAAAGCAATTCCTGCTTTCTTCTTCCACTTTCCTCAAAGAAATTGCTTTCCCCTCCCCTTTCTTGTGAAGAAAGGGGAGGGGAAAAGCAGGTATCAAAGCACTTTGATCCCTTCTCCCCCCTTACTTCTGTGTATAAGACAATCCTAAATTTTTAATCTAAATATTTTAGAGAAAAGTATCATCTTATACACAGAAAAATACAGTATTCAGACTGTACATTGCCCTTCCCCTGTGAGCTGGGTACTCAACTTTAGAACGATAGAAGTTTGAGTCAACTTTGAGCCAGCTACCTGAGCCCAGGATCAAACTCAGGTGTGAGCAGATTCTTCACTGCAATACTGCAGTTTAATTATTGTGCCACAAAGTAATAAAACGTTTGGTCTGATAGAAGTTGTAAATTGGAATGATTCTGCTGATACTCTAGTTTTACGTCAGAGTGCCAGGATTGTAGATGGCTGCATGCTTAAGGTTTTCAGTAACCTTCTTACCTTCAGCTATGCTGTCAATTCATTTAGTAGAATATGTGGTGTGGTACTGTAGTGGATTCAACCCCCCCCCCCTTTTATGTTGACTTGTCACATAGTTTGTTTTAGACTGTTTTGTGATAGTGACCTAAAATGTTTGACTTGCATTAGGTAACTGTCCAAAGTGGGCTTTGATGTCACATTAACCAGATATAAACGTCTGTAAATCAGCTCCAGTGGGAACAAAGTTCAAGAGACACAACTTTCAAATTCCTGAAGCTTAGAATTCTTTTTTTTTCCTTGGGGTGTGTGGGCATGCTTGGGCATATTAAACTTGTTTTCATATGAGGCTGTGCACAATGAGAAAGAAAAGAGCATCAAATATTACAACAGCCACATGTACATTTGTCATGTGATTTTCCTGTCGTCATGTCATGATCCCCTATCTATGCCCTTGAGATGTTATGGCTGGGGATTCTGTTTCTGTGTCTGAATTAATCCAGCTTTCCTTCTTTAACTGATTAGCTTCTCCGACCCCCCAAAGGAATCAGAGGCCTACATATCAAAGATTCCTGTTCGTTGTGTAATGAATGGGGGCTAGGATAACTGTTCAGCTTGGATGAGAGGGTAGGGGCAGCTACTCTAAACTGAGCCGGAAGAAGACAGTAAATAATATCTTCAAATAGATATAAAACATTCCCAAAAGGCATCCTGTATATTTTAATAGATGTACGTAAAGGTGAGCAAGAGACAGTAATACCTAACCCTTGTGGAATACTTTGGCTGGAAACCTTCCCTGTGAGGAAAACCAATATTGTTTCCCCAAGCCAGTGACTAAGGCTAAAAGAGCAGTTTACTGAAGGGGGAGTCTCAGAAAGAGGTGTTTCCATTACTTGCAATTAAATAGCACTGTGCACCTGTTTAATCTTTTCCCTGCAGGCCACCCTTTGTCCAATTCATCCCAAATGAGTTCACGGCATAGGCAAAATTCAAACCAGGAGCTTCCTGATCCTCCTGCAGCAGCTTGCATCACAAAAGCAGCATGAATTAATCGAAGATACAGATGTTTGTGCCACACTAGAGAGTGGTTATTGTTGGAGGTTTTGGGGGTTTGTTTTTGGCAACCTTGCATGCTACCTGTAATTTTTGTTACTGGGAGGAACTTTTATGGGTTGAGGTGATTTATCCAGCACTAATCAATCGTTCCTTCCAGTCGTTAATTTCCAAGAGACCCTCTCCTCTCTGCTGAGTGTTTCTTTCCCTCTCTGTTGTTGGTTGTTGACAGTTGTTTGCTTGCTGCTGATCTGTTCATTTAGTTATTAAGTATGAATGTAGTAAAGAAAGCAGCATAGACAAGGGTGTAATTTTTGCAACTGTAACTAAAGAATTTTTTTTAATTTTCTCCTACAAATGTCTCAGAGCAAGTTATTGAGAATTTAAGTGCCAGTTCATGAGAAAGATGAGGACTTTGTGGAACTCGTTGCTATTCTCTTCTGTGGAACTTTGTACTATTGCATACCAAACAGGGAATTTTACTAGAAATTCAAAACTCTTCGAACAGTTATTGTGTCCTTGGTTTAGGAGTGCAAGTATAGGATACAAACCATGTGTATCTTTGCACTATATTCCTCTTCCCTTATCTGAAGGCTTTTCTTCCCTTTTCTTAACACTTATTCTATCACATTTGAACTAGACACACAATGTTTTGCAGCTACTAGATAGTAAATTGAGGTAAGCTGACCAGTCTGGAACACCTGTTTTGTGGAAACTACAGATTTTTTAAATATAAAACCCAAAGGGTTG